GTGTCTGCCATCTTGGGAGGGTCTTTCAGCCATGTTGGTAGGGCCCATCGACCATGTTGGGAGGGTCCTGTCAGCCATCTTGGGAGGGTCTTTGGGCCACGTTGGGGGTCCCGTCAGCCATGTTGGGGTCCCATGGGCATCGTTGGGGTTTCATCGGCCATCTTGGGAGGTCCCGTGGGCCATGTTGGGAGGGTCTTTCAGCCATGTTGGGGCCCTGTCAGCCATCTTGGGAGGGTCTGTCGGCCATATTGGGGTCCCATGGGCCATGCTGGGGGTCCCGTGGGCCATCTTGGGGTCGCGTCGGCCATCTTGGGGTCCTGTCCGGTCGGCCATCTTGGGGTCCCGTCGGCCATCTTGGGAGGGCCAGTCGGCCATGGTGGGAGGTCCCATGGGCCATGTAGGGGTCGCGTCGGCCATCTTGGGGTCCCGTCGGCCATCTTGGGCGGGCCGGTCGGCCATGTTGGGAGGTCCCATGGGCCATGTTGGGGTCGTATCGGCCATCTTGGGGTGCCATCGGCCATCTTGGGAGGGCCAGTCGGCCATGGTGGGAGGTCCCATGGGCCATGTAGGGGTCGCGTCGGCCATCTTGGGGTCCCGTCGGCCATCTTGGGCGGGCCGGTCGGCCATGTTGGGAGGTCCCATGGGCCATGTTGGGGTCGTATCGGCCATCTTGGGGTGCCATCGGCCATCTTGGGAGGGGGGAGGGCCTGTCGGCCATGTTGGGAGGTCCCATGGGCCATGTAGGGGTCGCGTCGGCCATCTTGGGGTCCCGTCGGCCATCTTGGGCGGGCCGGTCGGCCATGTCGGGAGGTCCCATGGGCCATGTTGGGGTCGTATCGGCCATCTTGGGGTGCCATCGGCCATCTTGGGAGGGCCAGTCGGCCATGGTGGGAGGGTCTGTTGTCCATCTTGGGAGGGTCTGTTGGCCATGTTGGGAGGTCCCGTGGGCCATGTCGGGGTCATGTCAGCCATCTTGGGGTGCCATCGGCCATCTTGGGAGGGCCAGTCGGCCATG